CCAAGTGAGGCCTTAACTATCTATCTTTTTAATTTTGATAAAGCATTCTTTAAGTTAGAGGCAATAATCTTGCTTGCTATTATCATCTAAATTTGAATTATTTTTCTGCAGAACTTTAAAATTTAAAGAAATCTACTTTGCAATTTCTCCATTTTAAAGTAACAATTTAATAAAGAGAGTATAGCTACCAGCATCATTACTTTTTGGCATAATAAAGATTGTTTAATCTTCTATTGAGGTGAATGATGATGCTCTTCCTGATTCTAAAACGACTTTGAGTTCATTTTTTAATATGAAGTCTTTTGCACATTAGGATATATCATATTTAGAGGTAGTATCGATATGGATATTGAATGTTTGATCTAATAGTAAGCAATCTGAATCTGCTAATTAATCATCTAAAGTTTTCTTATAAATTTTAACCAGTATATCCTATATATATTTTAGAGAAGTATTCTTTAAACTTTGGAAAGCTGATATCTTAAGCTTTATTGACAATAGTGGTGTTTAAGCTTAATCAGCGAATTGGATTTAAAAATCAAGTAAATTACCAGAATCTATTTAAGGACAAGCAATATTAATTATTCCGGTTTTTGAGTCTAATTTTATTACCTTTGTTTTTACTGAAGCTAAGTCTCTTAGTGCTGATATCGAATTTTCCGATTAAGCTCTATCAATGATTGAAATCATCAAAGGGCATTCAGCTATAGATTGATCAGCTATGCTTGATACATTAACAGTAAATGAGCTTTCTCCATCTTAACAAAACTAATTAAATTAGAGGTTTTCTGGATTTTAAAGATAAGAGTAATCACACTTGGGAGTAATGTTAAAGTACTATTCGTAGAAGAGGTACTTGTTTAACTCTCTCGTGTGCAATTTGTATTAGTAAGTACTTAAGGTGAGACTTTAAGTATCTTAAATGGAGAATGTATTATTAATAGCTGACGAGTAATTTAAAGTAGCTTGAGGACTAGATTAAGTAACAGGAGTAATAGCATATAAATATTCCATAGGACATGAATCAGATGCCTATTACTCTAAGCTATTCTTTTCAAAATAAAATTGCTATAGCTGATTTATTCCTTTCTTAACTAGATATTCTGGTAGAATATTTGTCTGGCCAACCTAATAAATTATTCTTAGATTAGTTAATATAAATATATTTTACCAAGAGGCAAGACTTAGTCCAAGTTATTTTTCGATCCCAATTTATCGTATAATCACTAATAGGTTCTTGTGAAATAGTAACTCCAGAAAATAGATCGGATTACCCATCATAAACTAATGGAATTGAGAGAGTATTCGGTGTTTGAATTAATGTTGAAGTATAGAAATCATCAAGTGCAATACATTTATTTGCAGAAGCAGGTTCAAATATAAAAGATTAGTTAAAGCTTGTTTTTGTTTATTAAACACAATCAATATAGCCTTGAGCCTAACCAAAAACATAAAATTTGTCTGTTTATTTTGCTGTCACAAATGAATTTAATATGTGAGGTACATTTGAATTAGCTCTAATTCTGTAAATTTAAGTAGTATATTTCAAAGTTTTGACATTCAATTTGATTCTTAAAGCTGCAGCTTATCAGTCTGAATAACAAGCTAGATCTAAAATATCCTGAGAGAATATCAACCTTGTTGCTTAAGCTGAGAATGCATAAGGTATTAAGAATTTTTATGAAGTAAGTACGTCTATTTTTATTTGAATTATTTGTTTGGTTTCATCCTCATGAAACAAGAAAACATTAAGATAATCTTTTATTCTAATAACTACTGCATAGTAGGGCATACTGTAACCTATTTAGATTATGAAAAAAACATTGAAATGAGGAGAAAACTTACTAAATGCTCTAAGGTTATTATCTTGATTGGTTTAATTTGGATGAATAAGATACTGAATTTAAGCATCTGCTGTGAATGAAAATCTCATAAGTGCTAAATTAGTTTAATTTGCAAAACCTGGAATGACAATCTACTGTGATAAATGAAATCCCATTTTCAAAGTTCTAAAATATTGAGTTTAGACTATAGATATATATTAGCTTGTCTAAAAAATTCCATCCTAATTTTTCGAATACCTCATTATGAATCCAAGTTTATTGCCATTAGGCGTGTTCATTAAGTTTAAGAGTCTATATATTTAACTTCCATCTGAGCTAATTTCAATATGCTACACACTCCAGGTTTAGTCACCAGGATAGGTTCTATAGTATTTTGTGCTAAATGTATTTAAGTCAATAATTAGGAATGAAAATTGTGCAGACGAAGTTAATGATCTGGCTTCATTATGAATAATAAGATAATCATCGTTTGGAAAAACTTGTATCTTAACATATTATTGAGATGGAATTATATTCATTTATCTGGTTATTTATCCATTATCTATCTGAACATAGAAATTTTAATCATCGCTCCCTATAGGAATGCTATCTCCAAGAACATGCATAGACCCATTTTTAGTTAGATCAAGAGATTAAACAACAATTGATTATTCTTAATCCCATAATACAATAGGTGTATAGTTATCAAAATTTATTGAATCTTGAGCATTTACTAGTTTGATCAAGGTCATTATTAAAGCCAAATAGGATATTGATTTCAGTTTAGATAGTGCTGATTATTTTTTCAAGAGAGGATAGAATTTCAACATTTA